GGTAGAATATAAAATATGTTCCGCTCAAAAGTCATGTTGGAGTCAGATTTGGGTCTGGACCCCTGATTCCCAGAGCTCCCAATAAAAGCACCTGCATGGAATCATATCCTGTGATTCTGGGTGTTCCTGAACACAAACAGAGGGGCCACAGCCTTCCTCACAGCCACCAAAGTGCAAATTCCACCCCAGATCAGCAGCAGCAGAAAGAACAAAGTCCCATTTTGTAGCTTTTGCCTCTCTCTGGAGGCTTGTATTAAGGAATTCTAAATGGATTACACAACTTAAGACATTTAAAGCAATCTTCACTTCTGAATTGGTTTAACTACAGCCAGAAATTCTTAAATGCTTTAATTTCTTTAATAAGCAACAGCCCATGAGAGTTATTTGGACTGTTCTTTCATTTTGCCCTTGATACTTACACTTCAGGGAGAGGAGCAGAGCCTTAAAATGCAAGCCATACAGAAAAGCTGTTTAATGGAGATTCCAAACTATAACTTCAAAATGTAGCTCCAGAATGCAGAACAACCACAGCTCTCTACAGCATTTATTACACACAGACAGGGACTAAAAAAAACCCTCACAGCCTTCACAGCCTGGGAGAATTCACTGAGCCATTCTGCAGGGTGTGAGGCAATCCAGAATCTTAGCAAGGCTCCAGAAGGAGCCCTTGGAGAAATTGCTGCTTGGAACTGCAGCACAAGAAGCACCTGTGAGGTTTGTGCCTTCCACCACTCATCTGCCAGATTGGGCAAAATCTGCTTCAGCAATTTCCACTGTGCAAGGTGGAAATGCTGCAGATCTCTTTGCTAAAACCCTTCTTTTTTTTTTTTTTTTTTTTTTTTTTTTTTTTTTAAATTTTTTTTTTTTTTTTTTTTTTTTTTTGGTGCTGCAACAAACTATAAAACTTTTGTCTGACAGAAAAACGGCTGCTGCTTATAAGCATGTTTTAAATTGCTGCACTTCAAAGTGACAGTGGCACAGGATGTTTTAAAATATTTCCCCCATTCTAAAATGATGCCATTAAATCACAGTGAAGTACCTGTATAAAATCTCCAAATTAATATTTTATTACAGTATTTGTAATAAAAAGTACACACAGATTTGCATTCCCCAGTGTTTCGATTGCTAATGGCCTTTCTAGAGAGGTGCCTCCACCCTCAGAACCATATGCTTGCAAATTAATGAAATGAATTTCAATGTGCAAGTGAGTGACAAATCTGTGCTGGTGATATTGGTATTTTTCAGTCCACTGCACAGACCTAATTCACCCCCACAAGGCACCTTTCACTTGATTTTACTTTCAACACCACTTTGAAAGAACTATCAAGTGGCACACCTTGAGATCAGCAAAGAACTCGGTGTGTTAAATGCTCAAAAAAGCCCTTGTTATTACTGAAAGAGACTAAAAAATACAGATATTTCTATTATATATATCGCCCTTTCCCAGTTAATCTCAATTTTCTGTGACTGCACAGCCCAGTGAGTGCCACTGCTGGCAGACCAAGCAGGTAGCAGGACGTGATATCCAACAGATAAAGACGCAGCTATGGCTTATATTTATGTTTTATTATTTACAGGCACAATGGTTAAATCACAAACTGGGATGTAAAACTGCTCCTCTTAATATCTAAAATTAAGCTGCTGTTATAAAACATGGCTAACTTATTTTAATCATCTTAATTTTGTGTGTTACCCTATTTCAGTTTTATGATTTCTAAGAGGCTTGACACTCAGGTGAGCTTTAACTTTAAAAACAAATTTATTTTCTGAGTCATACTTTTAATCACATGGCTGTCTAGAAATACCTGACTTGTAAGGCACCTTGGTTTTGTTTGGAAATTTGACTGAGGGCCAAAATGGGATGGGAATAACATCCCATAATGAGTGGGATAACAAGTGAAGTGAATGTGCCAATAGAACTGGGTCTGGTTGCAAAGGACAGGGAAAAGGGGGAAAAGAAAAGAAAAGGGGAAAGGGAAAAAAAGGGGGAAAAGGAAAGAAAGGGGGAAAAGGAAATCATTGACATCAAACCATGCACTGCATCACAGCCTTGTGAGTTTTGATTGGTTTTCCTTACACAGTCTGCTTCCAGGAAGAATAAAGTATTTTCCAATGATCTCTAGATAGTTCATCATTTTGACTTTTGCTTGTATTTTCCAGAATAAAACTGTTTCCTAATTTATTTTTACTTTTCATAAAGCTGCAGGTTGATCTTCCATCTTTAAAAAGATCAACTATTTTATTATACCTAATATCAGATTATTGAAGATTTTAGTACATGCATGGGGAGTTCATCTAATCCCATTGACCTTTTCATATTAAAATCCAGTTTTATGCTTTATCTCCTCTTTGTTAAAAGAAAAAAAAAAATCAGTTGTTGTTCAGATGCTGGTTCTTTATTCTTATGTGAAAATTAAGCAGAACATGATTTTTTTTCCTTTACATGGAAGTGAGAATATGAAGCATGATTGCAAAGAAGTTGCAGATGCCAAGTGCAGCATTTGGAAGGTTATGCACAGTTCAGACTACAAGGCTGCCTCCTGACTAAAAAATACCAGCATCCATCTCAAGTAATGACACTCACCTGCCTGGCTCATAGTTCCTTATTTAAAATTCATGCAGAGATAATATTTGCTGGTAGATTTCTTCCTATTTTATGAATAACCGATGCCAGCATCCTCATATCCAGCCAATTTATTCCAAAAAGAGGCTTCCCACAGGAAAAATAAACCCAACTGTCCATCCCCAAAACCACTGGTTTATAAAGCACCAAACAATAAATAGGAAGTGCAAATCTTCATGCAAAGCACTTCCCCTTCCTACACAGAAAAGCAGCACGTGTGACAGAGCAGATGAACATTACAATTAACCAAGCCCCAGAAGCACCATGGGGAGCAGTTGAGGCAACTTGAACAAATCCCATTTCTTTTGCCAAAAATCTGCCTTGCTCCAGAAAGCAAAGAAGGGTTGGAAGAGAAGTTTTGGTCATTAAAAATGAACAGGAATTTCTGCTCTGCTAGAAGCCAGTGCTGTTTATAGGAAATGCAGCTTTTATCTTACAGAATGCAACAAATTTAAGTGTAATAAAATCTTTTTCATATGTATTCTAAGCATCAGAATTATTGGAGGCTATGCTCCCATTAATATGTTTTCTCTGTTTAGGATGCTATAGCTTAACTAAACTTTACTGACTATTCCATTTTAATTCCTCAAGTCAACTTACAGAACATCAGAGGCTTTGAAGCAAACTATAAAAATCTCAAAGCTACAAGGTCAAGTGTCACCCACAGAAGAAAATTCATAAAAGATCATCAAAAGTGCCTGGTAAACCAGAAGACTTTACAAAGAAAGTAAGAAAAAGATGAAAAGTCACCTCCAGAAAAGAATTATCAAGTGGCAGAAAACATTTCTGGCATTTAGATAAGATGCAAAACTGCTACTTGCATAATAAATTAATTAATACGTTAGCCCACAGTATATCCTGAGCTGGAGAGGACTCACAAGGATGACTGAGCCCAGCTCCTGGCCCTGCACAGACACCTAAAAAACCCAAATCAGCCCCATTTTGTCCAGAGGCACTCAGAGAATGATCAGCAGCAAAGTGAGGCAGGGACACGTTTAATCCACATAAATAAAACACAGGTTATGTGCAGGAAAAAAACCAAAAGGTGCATGCAAGGTTTGAGAAGCAGCAAAAAAAAAAAGATAAAAGTCTGAAAAAGACAGACACACAAAAGTGTGAAGAGTGTGAGGTGAAACCATGGCAGAGCTGGGCTGATGGATGAACTTCCCCATCTCCTCGGGGACACGAGAGCTCTGCTCCCAGCAGCCAGGAGAACACAGACTGAGAGCAAACGATGGCCTAATTAATAAAGTATCCAACAGCTAATCACTGCTCTGAAGAGAGACATTGACTGATATCACTGGGGAAAAGGAGACAAAAGTTTCCAGGAGAAAACCTGGACAGGGCTGGTGGAAATGTGCATCCAGCTACTTCTTCCATCTATTCTCCTTCATGTTCTCCTGCTTGCCCAGGTATTTGTATATATTTATATTTATATTTATATTTATATTTATATTTATATTTATATTTATATTTATATTTATATTTATATTTATATTTATATTTATATTTATATNTATTTATATTTATATTTATATTTATATTTATATTTATATTTATATTTATATTTATATTTATATTTATATTTATATTTATATTTATATTTATATTTTTTATATTGTTATAATGATCTGTTTATATTTATCTTCTGATTAAATGAGCAAATTAAAAGTTTGTGTTATCTTCATCTACCACCTACTTCTGCCTCAGCAGAAAACAGCAACAAGGGTGCCAAGCAGCACAGTCTGTGCCACATGAGAATGTGTCCAACAGATGAGTTCAGCTACCACATGCCCAGCCTGGCCTGCTGGCCAACCAAAAATAATCATTAATTGTGGCCTGTGCAGCACAACTAACCTAGATCTACTCATATGCAGCCTGGGATTTTTCCAGAGCAAGCTGTTTATTTGCCTAAATAATAAATATTCATATTTATTACATATAATTTTGTGTTTTATACCATATTTCTATATTTTATACATAAATATATTTATTTGTATAAATAATAACAAATTAATAGCACAGCTATTTGCTATTCTCTCCCAGGTGTGGAAATGAGGAAGGCTCCTTGCACACTCAGAGCTCACTCTTCAGAGGTTTGATGGGACACTCAACACCACCCCTGCACTGCTGGCACAGAGCACCTCACTGAAATAAACTGGATTATTTTCACAGCCTACTACAGAAGAAGAGGAGTTGCTCTATTACTGTTTTTCCCTCCTGACTTCCCAGCTCAATAAATACCAGAAAAGCAGAATCCATGTGGATTATCAGTGCTTGCAGGTTACATAATCCCACAATCCCAGATGAAATGCTGCAAGTATTTCATGTCAAAGCAAACAGCTGCTGTCTTTAGGTGCTTGGTGTGTTTGCTTACCTTTGCTTGCACTCTCAACGTGCTGCAGTTCATCTGGGAATTTTAAGATGTCCCGGTAATTCTCCTCACAGATTTCTGCCAGAAAATGCAGCAGGGTGGTTTTCTGATCTGATGATTTTGTATCTCGAATCTAAAAAGTGAACACGGGAGAAAACAAAAAGGAAAAAAAAAAATTTCTTAAAATATTTCAATAATGGGTTGCCTGCAAATAAACAGATTATTTTAAAATTAAATTTCTAGAATTCCTCATAATTTAGGACTACATAAGAAATCTACCCGATTTCATCTTTTAAGAAAGAATGATTAATTTTGATGAGAACAAGATCTCAAGACAACCCATAAAGTTCTGAGATTTTAGCACTGCCAGTTCAGAATCCCCCAGGTAAAAACCAGCTGTGCACAGAGATTCAACAGAACTGAAATTAGAGCATTCCTTCAGTGCCATAAATGCCAAATCTCCACGGGAATCCCTGAAATGCTGCATAGCTGGACACTATGCTAACAGCCAGAATTTGCATTTTGACCAAACTAAAGGATCTCTTTGTTTTAAATCAACTCTTTTTTCTTGGAGCGAAATCTAAACCACGCTGTGTTAGGCTAAAGACTTGGAGACCAATTCTATAGAGATACACAAAATAAATGCACCCTGCCTTACCAGAATAGAGAATAACAAAAAAGTAAAGGTAATCCTGGCTGCTGCTAAAGGAAATGTAATGTATCAGCTGCATTCGTGAAAAGCTGCAGGAAAACTCTGCACAATGGGAAGTTACAGGTAAATGAATATTTTTGCTGTTCTTTTGACTGCAAGGCATTTTTAGTGGCCTGAAACAATTCAGTATTCCTGGAAGTGATAAGGCTCTGTTCTCCATTAGCCTGAATGCATGAACTGCTGAAATGAGTGTTTTTAGTTAAAAAAAAATTAAAATAAAACTCTTGAACTAGTTGTTGAATATAGGACCAGTGGCAAATTTCCAATAACTTTATGGCTAAGTCCCATGGCACGGTGCACTTGTCTACACAACATCATGAATTTAAGAGAATGAGAGAAGAAATTTAAGACCAAATTTCTGAGTCTGCCCATTTTTGTGCAGATGTGAAGAAGGGATGTGTGAGCTGATGGCAGATCTAGCAGGAGCAGTGATTCCCTCTTATTCACAAAGGCAGAGCAGGTGCATGTAAGAGTTTGAGAGGAGCACTCTTCACTTGACAGAGAATTAGTAATGCATCTGCAAAGAATTGTTTTAACAGAATTTTACTCATCTAGCACAGTTCTTACACAGAAGTAAGCTACAACATACACAACAAATGAAATAAAGGATTTATTTAAGAAGAATACATAATGCGTGTGTAAAATCTCCTATTTGTTTTCTCATTCTCTAAATCACTTGAAGTTCTAATTCTATAATCCTCATGACAGGCTTGCCATCGATGTTCAATTTAATAGAGGCCTTTCAGCTTTAAGGATTACCCTGTTAGGAATAAATGAGTGCAGTGGAAAAACAGGCTTTTAAAAATATAAGGTATTTAGGCAATTAAGAAAGCAATTTAATTCATACCAATTCAGCGATTAAAGACTAAACAATGTTCAGTAATGGTATGAAGTTAAAGGGCTTTAATGTGTTACATACACAGAAGTTCTTCTGACTTGAAAAAATAGTAGATTTACTGGCTAAACATCTGCATGGAAAAAAGAAATTGCATTTCAATTTGCCTGTGAACAACAGTAGTGGGATTTGCAGTCTTTGATCTCTCTGACATCATCAAGTGGATAAAGTACTTTTTTTCTAAATGGACGAAATTATTTTGCTTTCAAATTACAACAGGAACATGTTTTGCCACCAAGAGCAACATCAGAACAAGAGTCAGCATTAGCACCTTGTAGTAAACATGTATTTAGATCTTGAACAAATGTATCAAATTCATGTATTTGGCCCAATCATAAACAAGTCTCTGCTATATTAATCTTTAACACAATGGATGCAGATAGGCCTCCTTGATATTTAGAATCAATATCTGTACTTTAAAAATCAAATCCTAAGCCCACTTGTGTAATGAAACATAAGATAGGTGTCGTTTGAGTGTAGTTTAGCATATAATATTTAAATATAAAAATAGAAAAGGAAGGTAAGAACTGGGCAGGTGGCAGCTTGGTTGTTTCTGTATTCACACCCTGCACTTGTATTCAACATATACTCATATTCAATATATGCTCATATTCAGTAACACACCCATTATTTTTTTTTTTTTTGCATATAAATGCAATACTTTTTATGCTCAGCTTTTTACTTGCAGTAATTTTGCCCAATAGATATAACATTTCTTGACTTGTAAAGAACCTAATGGCTTAGCCTGATTTCTGCTGTTCTACACACTCCAGCCAAGTGGATGAAAAGCAAAAAGAGCCTATTAAGTTGTGCTTACAAGACCAGGAGCTGGACTTTGATGAACCTCGTGGGTCCTTCCAACTCAGAATATTCTATCATTCTATGATTCAGGATAAATTTTTAACACTGTGGTGTTCAAATTTTAAAATACAGGTTTTGAGTCTATCGCCTTTCTTTGCCCGAGAGACAGAATTTGGAAATAAATTCAGTTTAAAAATAAATGAAATAAATTGCCAGATCAGTGTGGGCTACAGAAAGCAGCTCCAGCTGAATGCTGAAGCATTAATTTGAGGGTCAAAAGCACGAGATCCATTGCTTGGGAAAGGATTAAAGCAAGGTACACAGCACAACCACTCAAACCCAGGGAGACAGAGTAAGGTGTTTAATTCTGTAAGCCAGGAAAACACCACCAGAAGAAAACTCTCCCTTGGCACAGAGTAAAGCATTTAACCCATGCCAATCACACCATAACCCAGTGCCAGCATGGGGCTGGGTTCTCCCAGGTGCTTGTGGATGCAGCTCTCAGGTGTGAGGGTTAAACTGGCAGCCAACGCAAGGAAAAATTTATGTACGAACCATCACTGGAGTGACACTTTATTATAGCTATAAAAAGGCTCTCTATTGATTTTTATGAGATTATAGACCTTCTCCTATGCTAGAAATCTTTCCCCCTTCCCAGAACAAGGGCTGCTGGACAATAAATGTCCCCTCATCAGTAATGCTCAGAGTGGATAAACAGCTTGTCTTGTTCTATTTGCACGATGGACAAAAAGCAACGTAGCACCACTTAACAGAAGAACACACATTGATCCAGCCAGAAAGCTGCAAAAGCTTCACTGGGACTGAGCTCCTGGTCCTCACCTGAATCCAGCACCACAGCACCAGCAGCTGTACCTGCACATCCCAAAAACAAACCTCTTCCCTTTCAGTTCCACTCGCACAGAGCAGAATTTGGGAACTCCTGCTGCACTGGGGGTTCAAAAAGCAGCTGGATCCTCTGGACGTATCAAACAGCAAACTTCACCTTTAGTGGATTACTGCAGCACCTCCCTCAGCCTGAGCACTTTTCCTGCTGTATTTCTATTTTCACTGAGCATTCCATGCTCGGGCAGTGAAGATGCTCTGGTGCAGGCACAGGAAGAGCTGCTCTCCCTGGCCGGTCATGATACATCCCAGGAATTCTGATATTGATGTTTCTTATTTGAACAAAACCAAGTTCTCTGCCTTCTGCCAAAGGCTGTTTACCTCTCCAACCAAAGGTTGTAGGTAATTTCTGTCTTAAATAACATAATGCACTGCAATATAAAATCCAGAGATAATCTGTTTTTAAGGATTTGCAATTACTCCTCAGTCATTAGTCTTCTACCTCAGTCCGTGCAGGAAGGAGTTGTGCTTTATTTTATCATGTTTAAATAAAAGTTTTATCCAAAACAGATCTCAGATCTCAGATCTGAGTAATTTATTACTCAGATCTCAGTAATAAAATTATTTTCCAAAACCAAATATTTATCCCAGATCAATACTTGCCTTTTTTCTTCTTTTTTTTTTTTTTTCAGAGTGGATAATGTAAGTACTACATCCAGTAAACAGACAATTAATTTTAAGATTGCTCAAGAAACAAGCAAAAAGAAAAAAAAAAATCAATACAAAACTCTGGTTGCATTGAAAAATGAATTCATCACATTAGGATTACTCATCATCAAGTGTGTGTATTTTGCACATAGATGTGTGCACACAGACATCTTCCACCTCCCTGACAGCTGACTCAAAAAAATAATAAAATTCTATTATCATGGGGAGAAAGTCCACTACATGATAGTCACTGGTCTAAAAAAGGAGTTATTATAACTAGATAACTATAGTTATAACTATATAGCTATAAAAGGAGTTATTATAACAAAATGCAAAGTAAAGGCTCCCAAATTCTACTAGACAAGCTTGAAAGCTGAAATATATTCCTCAGGAGCAAAAAAATAAAGATTCCTTCAAATTACCCAAGGAATGTTGGGAGTGCTCCCTGTGTACTTCCTGCCCATGACCAAACACAGAGGTGCAGTCATTTTGATGAGCTAGCAAAGCATTTTGTTGAGATACATTTTGTTTGAATATGTCCATAGGTAAAGCAATTGCAAAAGCAATAGGTGTCTTAGGTTGAATTACCATTGGGGCTTTAAGTGGCAGAGCTACAACCATTAGCTGCTCATTGCAGTTTACTGAAATGACAGCTGGAAAAATCAATAGTCCAAGACTTGTATTGTTGTCTTTACCTATGATTAAAAATTCTTGTCTTTGTCGTGATTCGTTAATCAGACCTGTAGGTATAGATTCACGACAGAAATTTTTCAAAAACCATATGAACTGTGCACATGGCACGTCAGTGAGTGACGCTTGCCCGGCTTTGGGCGCTTCCTCCCGAGCGCCGAGTTTCACCTGGGGGTCGCAGCTTACCTTGCACAGAAAGCTGATGTTGAAGCCCAGAGACTGAGCGTTCCTGGAGCCAGAGTTCATGTAGTTGCCCAGGAACAGCACCAGCTCCAGGAGCTTGCTGAAGCTCTCGCTCTTCTTGAGCTCCTCGCAGGCCAGGGTCACGGCCATGATGTCGGGTTTGATGTTGTTGACGTGCTCCTCGAACATCAGCCGGAACAGGATCCCGTTGAGGCGCGCGCGCAGCATCTTCACCGAGCTCATCTGCAAGGGCACAGCAAACACAGCCCACCAAAGGCTGAGCCTCAGGAAAGCTCACGTGCAAAAGCCCTGGTTTGTGCTGTGCAGCCAGCAAGCCCCAGCTCCTGTGTGTTTTCACTGCCTGCCTTGCATTTCCCAGGATCCCTGCACCGCTGTGCTTCAGGCACTTGGCCAACGACAGCACGGCACTCTTTGCTTCCTGCTCCGATTGAAACGGACATTTTAAGGAATTTAGAGATTTTAGAGGAGCTAAGATTTTAGTTAGAAATAAGCCTTACTAGAGTTAATTAAAATAAATGAGTAAACCTTGATGAAGTTAAGAGTTGGTAGTTAACTAATAATTGATTGCTTGTCAGCACAATGTTTAGTTAGCTGGGTTTATAATGAAGAATACACAAACTAACAAACAGCTTTTAGGAAAATCAGACAATTGTGGGGCTCCTCTGTTCTGAAACCAACTGAAGACAAGGAATGGGAGTTCTACCAAGAGTTCATTTGTCATATTTGCATTGAAAAGGTAGAAAGGTCGGAACGAGGAAGACTTCATTGACTTCCTCATTTTGGGACCCCTCCCCATGGAAGGGACACCGACCCATTCCAAGGGACAAACCACGCATGCTGAATGGCTTTGGGAGTGATTGGCATAGGAAGTGAGGAATGGGATGTACCAAAATGATGAATATGGATTGGTATTTTGGGTATTCAATACTTGTATGGATAAAAGGACTCTGTAATCACCTGGAAGTTGCAGTGTGGATTTGGGAGCGATCCCATACACAATAAACACACACTTTCTAACTTTAAACTGTTAGAGAGTAGAGAGGTTTTGTCCGTCACAGTTGGATATCGGTACTAGATCAATATCCATATTTTTTAATAAATCATGATAACAGAAACTTAGCCAAAGACAGCACAGCACTCATTCATTCCTGATAAAAAGATGGGACATTATAAATCCTGACCTTGCAACATGCCAAATGACAGAGATACTGAAAATATTCCACAATGCTGATTCATTAATTTAAATCCCCAAGACCAAATTCACTAGGCTAGGTAACAAAATATGGCTGTGTCTGTCGTATTTTGCACGAGTGATCAGAGTTATTTCCTCCCACTTAGCACACCATAATTCACAAGAGGGATTTAAATTAGTAAAAAAAGATGTACTGAGCATTGTTAAACAACTTGAAATTAATTTAATTGCAAGAAGGGTTATGTTGCAAATCTATCTCATTTTACTTAGCCGAATACAGGAAGATTTCTTCCCCAATGTATTCACCATCAGGGGTGTTCCTGAAGCACTTAGCCAGAAAAGCTTTGCTATGTGGCAAATCACAGATCTTGACCAGCAAAAGATTTTGATGTGCTCCTGTCTCTGTTGGCCAAAATTTGGCCATGGTCCTTTAAAGAACCACGATTTTTCTAGCAGTGCTATCTCCCAACAGCTACCAGAAGCAGCAGCAATAACTTTCACAGGAAGGACTTGAGTGGCCTGAATAATAATGAATTCTTTCTAAAATGAACATAAACATGAAGGCGCTCCAGATGGTCTCAAACAATTCCTATGATCAGGCTGGAACAAGGAAAAGGAAAGGATCAGAAAAGAAGCATTTCAGCAGAACTAGTGATCTTTTTTTATAAATCTCCATTGTCACAAATTTCGCTCTGAGCCTCTATAAGCCAAAATCATTGAAAGTCTTGAAACATTATTCTTCTAATCATCCTGCATTTCAGAAATATCATACTGAAAACATCTGCCTTGAAAGGACCTACTTACACTAATCTGCAGTAGATGGAAATTAAAATTAATCACATAATTTGCTTTAACTTTTGTAGAACAATCTCCAATTGCTGTTTTTACTCAAAATGGCACAGAAAAAAATTGTCGAAAGCTTTAGATCCCAAAACCAGAGTGCAACAAAACATATACAAGCCCACAGGAGAGTGAGACATAAACATTTGTGAAGAATAATCCTTAAACTTCAGAGAGGTGTCCTTTCTTTAATACTGTGTAGTGTCATGGAACACTGATCATTTATTAGCTTTTGACCACCAACCCAGCAGTAAGTTTTAATTCCATTCCCTGACCTACATAATATTTTTAAACTATCTTGATAATTTCCTAAGAGCTGTTTCATGTGGATTGTTTCCTTAAAACGAGAACATTTTTATACACATAAAAATGTGTATATTCTATTGTATATTCTGTGTATTTTATACACATAAAAATGTGTATATTCTACTGTATATCCTACTGATGCCCTTTAGGGGCTGTAGGAGATGGCCACAAATGCCATTTTAGTTCCTCCTGCCCCACCTGCCCCAATTTCCCCTTTTGTGGGCCTGTTCCTAAATCCACGTGTTCAGTGGCAGAGAAAGAGGGGTCACAATCTGAACTTGGAGCAATCTCCTAGAATCAGGTAAGGAGCAAAGCCTACATTCACTTGGAAAGCTCAAATTCTTTATGGCTCTAAATAAAATTAGTGTCAAAAGCGTGTAAGAAATGAAACATTACAACAGCAAGCACTGGTTTCCCCTGCAAGCAGTTAAAGAGGCAAGAAAATGGATATTTCTTTTCCAGCTGACTGTCAGTGATGGGCTGCATGTCATTATTTCCCCTTCTGGGCTCTCATAAAAGTCTTGTCTGAACTCTCTACCTAATCAAGTTCTTTATTCAGTTCTTTATGCTTTATTATCATCATTCAATTCTCAAGTCCTGTATTAAAACGAGGATCAAAGGCTATTGGAGAAAGGCAAAAAGCACAATTAAATTTGCCTCACTTCCTGAGAAAAAGCTGACATTCTTCTAATAAAAATTTGTCAACTTACTAAGGCAACTTAGCCTCTTACCTGTGTTATATTAAAGTTTTCTTTTTTTTCCCTGAAAACGTTCTAGGAAGATTAATTCTGCAGCAGCTCACAAAATTACAATGAGGCCAAACAAGCAGCCAATAAATTCAATTTAAAAGACTGAATGACTGTAAACCAATGGAGGTGCAATAAACTTGCACAATTCTCCCCACTTTGTCTGCCCCCCAGCCAGGACTGCTCATGACAGGGTTACACAGGAAAAAAGGGTCACAGGATATGCAAGTTTATACAACTCCTCAGTCAAATTTATGCTTTTGTCACAGTAAAAATGTTCAGCTGGCACTGAAGTGGAAATGCAGTTCCTTACTGGAGCTGCAGCTGTTCCCATATCACAAATTAACTCTGGAGCACAAGGTTTATGTGTAGAGCTCAGGTAAAACACTGCCTAGCTGAGGCACTTACAGAGCTGATTAGTGAATCTATTTTTCTTGCCCTACTTCAACATCAATGCAAACTTTCCTTCATAGGAAGTTGTGGTGCCTTTTTTGATCCCAGGATGTAACTTCAAAAAGTTCCAATAACTAATTAGAATGTATAATTGATTTTAACATTTCATCTAAATGAAAATGCAGTTCCAAATTTCATTTACATATCAGCTGAATTTTAAGTTAATTGGTTCCTTCAAATAAGTTAATCTTTTACTAAGTATGGCTTTTCTACATGAATTTTAAGTAACTTATTCCAACCTTTATTAAATTTGATGGGCAAAGTGATTATCCAATTAACATATCTTAATAATTAACACACCTAAACCTACATAAAAATAAGGAGACACATTTTAAATATTATTTAAGGTAGTCTGTCTTCTATTCCTAAAGCCAAGGTTAAGAAGATTATTAATGAGAAGCTCCAAAATTAATTTGACACATTGGAAAAAAGAACTTCAGTCAAGAATTTAAGTTCAGCTGCATTTCTTCCACTTTAATGGCCAGTTCCATGATATCATAATCAGAAACAAAGTCAGCATTTTAGCACCAGTAATGCAGTTAGAGGCCTCTAGAAATAAGACAGAAGCAGGACCCATAAGGCAAAGCACTGGTTTTTATTAAAGCAGATGGCAAAGCTGAATAAGCAAACAAGCTCCAGGAAACTTGGTTCCTTCGTAAGGCAAACAGCACCATTTGGAGATGTTTGATTAAGCAGTTTTCGCTAATTAATGTTGCATTAAATACTTGGAAACTCTCTCAACTTCCTCTAGTCAGTGTTTCCTCAGGAACACCAATCTGTGGAGCAGTGCCCACACTGGGACTGCTGGAAATAAAGGAACTTGGGTGGCTTTTAACTGACCAGAGGAAAAGGCCAATTCCTGCAGTTCCACTTTGGTTTTGCACTGACCAGAGGAAAAGGCCAGGATTCCTCCAGTTCCACTTTGGTTTGACCTCCACCTTGCCTGCTTCCACTGAGCATTTCCCTTCAACACACTCCAGATATCCTCCCTGCACAAAACCCAAGGAATTTCTCACTTTGACAAAAATTTCTCACTTCTGTCCCCCTAGGTATGGCCATAAATAGATGTAAATATAAGATAATATATAATATATACATATATCATGATACACATATTCATAGATAAGTTTTTTTTTCATCTGTCTAAAGCCATAATATACATGTTTATATTTTAAATATATGTGTGCTACTATTGCTTCAAAGAAAGCAGCAAATATGTATTTATAGAGATTTTTAGCTTGTTACTGATCAATAAATGGCAGTGTTTTACTTCTTGCAGCAAAGTTAAGTAATGTATCCTACTTCTACCAAAATTCCTCATATTTGTTTGGAAATAAAAGATTTTTTGAACTTTATGCCATTTATTTAAAAAAAAAAATCAATAGGCTAGAGTTTTTCAAAAGAAGCCATTGATATCTTTAATTTTCTAAATCCTCTCCAAAAAAATCTCATTAGGACAAATCATACTCTGTTACTTCCCCAACTGAAAAATAATTAAAAAAAAAAAAAACACTCAAAAGGCGCTTCTGAAGCCAAATTATGCTCAAATCAGAGCTTTTTAGTAAGAAAGTCTTTTAAGAGGCCCCTATTTCTGTTTTAATGCATTTTAATGTACATAATGCCTTAAAAATCCAGCAAGAGCAACTGTAGCTCCTGTGGAGCTGGGGATAAATCCTGAGCACGTTGCAGAGGCTCTCATCATCATTTTAATCTCCTAGGCTGAGGAAGGGAAGGGAAAACAGGAGCTCATTTGCCTAAGGACTCCTGAGGTCTTTGGAAGACCAGGAGCAGAAAGTGATTCCCAAGGGCTGGCACAGAACTCAGAGTGCCACCCTCACCCCAGGCATGGATTAAAGAATTTCTGCAAATGCTGGAATTTTCTTCCAAGAGAGGCCCCAGCCATTCTGGTAGCCCTGCTCTTGAATCCATGGGCTGAAAGGAGCAGAACACAAGCTACCATTTTAATTCTAGTATAAACTCACACCTCTCCTTGAGCCATTCTGCACATTTGTGTTTGTATAAATACAGATGGTTTATATCTGTATGCATACATCTATATGAAATATAGATATGGACATATTAACTCTTTCAGCTGTTTACAGGTTTTGATACAAAATAAATTTATCAGAGTTCTCAGTGGCATGGGGTAAATGGGTCTTCCATGGGCTCTTGGAAATTTATCTGCTTGAAGGCAGAGGGTCCTTCAGAACTGTTTAATAAACATTCAAGGCAAGACAGGCAGACAAAAGATTTGGTCTGGCATGCTGCACTGTAATTCCTCCCTGAAAAGCAGCCAGAACCAGAGGGAGCACCCAGGAAAGGACCCTGAGGATGATCTGCCCCCACTCTGGTTGGTCACAGCCCTGCCCAGGCTGCCCTAATACAAATTAAAGATTTCTTGATTACTACTCATCAGGAAATAGCAACTTCCTATTGCAGGTCTTGCAAAAACACTAACAAAAAGATTTTATTCCTATATTGTTTCTTTTTATGTGCCAAAAAGGAGCTCTGCAGTTAATCAATCCTTGCACTAATACATACCACAACTCCAAATTGCTCTGGCTCAGCGAGATCGTTGTATTCCTCTTTTAATTCAGCTAAGGCATTGAGCTCTTTCTGCTCAGGAAGATTCTTCACCAGGTTCTAAAACAAACAAGGCATTATATCAAATTTGTTACATTAAACTACCTAAGATATTAAAAATAACACACTTAAAATACCACAACATGGAAATGCATAAGGAAATTACGGGACGTTTATTTTATTTACGCAGCTTTAACGTTATATAAACATCAAATCAAAGCAGCAATTATTTAATACAGACATCAACTGCTCTGCTGCAGTCTCTGATTTGAAGAATGTATTAAAAGGTTGCAGTATCATTTTTCAGGGTCTGACAGCATCAAGGAGTTTTGTCTCTCTACAATCTCCTTTTACCCTAATGGTTGCATCTTGCTCATTAAACATCAATCAAGAAATAACAGGTCTGTGTAAAACATGACAAAAGTAGCAAAAAAAAAAAATTTACAGTCATTAGACATTCCAAATATCTGTGCACAAAGTACTCTCTAAAAATACCTTACAAAGAAAAGGTCAGCAACCCAAAATTGTTCAGATCTTTTGGATGGCAAATATACAGGAACTCAGGCAAAGTTCAATTAGCTTATCCATGTCCCCAGAGAAAATTGTGAATTATTTTATGATATTAAAGTGTCAAAATACAGATATGATAATATTTCTATTAAGTCTGAATAATATTATATGTTAAGAAATACTCAATAGAAGTGTATATTTGCATTTGATATATAAAATTTTTAAAACAACGCATTAATATATTTCATTTTTAAAGTGCAGATTGTATTTAATATATAACGTTTTCATATCTACACAAGTTGAAATCCAAGCAATAATGTATTTGTATTAGAGGAGATCAATATGAAACTACTCTGCACTTCAGCTACCCAAGGTGGGGTTGTTCCCTTTATTTTTGATTTTACTAAACCTGAAGGATTCTTAATCATCTGATCTGACATCTCTGATCAATAAACCAAGTCTCCAATAAAATTAGGGCTTTGCACCTATTCTCAAATACTGAGGCAACTCAGTTTAGACCAGAGTCCCCAGAATAACCATTTTGCAGGTCCAAAAAAGGAAGAAGAAATTAATTCAGAAAACCTTGGGGGAATGGGTCAAAAGTACAACCAGGAGACAGGGATGGATGAAAGGATAAATGCAGGCAGTGTGGCAGCAGGAATCTGAATGGGTGTGTGATGTTAAATAAAGCTACAGCAGCACTGCTGGGCTGCCAAATCTTTGTGACTTTTGGGGTTTCCGTGGCTCTCTGCTGCACGGTGACTCCTCAGAGGCTCTCCCTGCTCTCCTCCTAGAGGGAGCAAACCACACAGGGATGGACAGAAGTTCTATTCCATCCTTTCCACTCTCCAGCTGAGAGATTTGGGGCTCAAAATGAGATTAAACCAGCCTGAGAGGAGATTTAGAGAGAGGTTTGGAATTGCAGTGTCCTGAAAGGTTCTGGGAGTTTCATCCCTCACTAGAGACAGGCAGAAAAGAAACTTCATTATGCACCAGCCTGAATCATCTTCAGCTTCTCTTCAAAGCTGAAACTCTAGAATTTTTAAATATTTCCTTTTGGAAAGGGAAATTCCCAGGAATTCTTTTGTTAACTGTGTCTTTGAAAGGCAGTTTTAGTGCTACATGTGGCCATATTCAAAAGCAGAAGTGAAATCAATGGAACAGGAAACACAACTGGTACCCTGCAGCTGATACCCTGTCCTGCTCTCAAATTCTTACTCCTTCCTGCCATTCTCACATGGAAAAGGAGCTATAACCAAAAGCAGAGGCATTTTCACATACCTGAATCAAGGATTCACTCAGCTTCTCCTCATCAACCTCTAAAATGATATTTTTTATTTCTTCATAAGGCAAACGGAAGGAACCCAAAAATATTGCTGAAATTCAGTAATACATCATTAGTATCAAAAAGGTCAAAAAAGATTGATATACAAAGGCAAACCATTTCTAGCAACCCAAAAAAACCACATCTCCATCTAAATTGTTTCACAGTTAAGAAGCCTCCTATATAAACAAATGCTAGATAGGCACACTATTGCAGTTTGACTTAGAATGAATTTCCTTTCTAAGAAATGAAATGATGACAACAATTTTAACTTTTAAATTGGCCTCAGTTGCTCCCTAGCAATGTTACTTCCCAATAAAGTTTTATCTTTATGAATGACATCTGCATTCCTACTTAAGCAGACCTACTCAGCCAATAATAGATCTCTTTATCCATTATTATTACTGCTTCCATAACCAGGTATGAATTGCTGTACTGCACTTACAATTGGGTCAATGATATTTATGTGATATTTCAGAAAATATTTCACATCAAAGTGGTAATGAAGAGCTGGGCAAAGTAGGAAAAATGCCCTAACACTACCACTTTTAGGTTAACTGAACTTATACAAGAGACACAAATAATGCAAACCCTTCAAAGATGGAGCTCTCAAAGCAATTTGATCTCAGAATGTTATAAAATCTCAAGAGAGCCCCATTCAGTAAACTACAAAGAATTCTTAACAGATGGATCAGCATAACATTGTTAAAAAGTGCTTTATATTCAGCCTAACAACTACAGCTGATTATCCTGCATCCATGCTGTCAAAATTTGAAGTTTTTTATCAACTGTGTCATACTTCATTTTCTGCTCATGCATGTGGCACTAAACAATGTCCACATTTGGGTTTGCACACTTATTTGCCACGGGCACAGCTGGACTAGTGACATTTATGGTGTTTCTGATTCCAATCAAAGATTCTACTACTCTTAGTGATGGATTTTCCTACATAATTAAGGGGAAAGAAGTTGGGCTGGATTTTGTTACCATTTGTAGCAGCAGTACCTGCACCTCTGCAGCCTATCTAGTAATATTTTCCCTTGAACCTGTATTTTTTCACTGCTCTGACCCAAGGAACAATCAGGAATGGCCTCTAAACCCCACCCACACCATGCTCTGCCCAAATTAGTGATCATTGAATTGCCCTTCCAGTCCTGAGCAGTTAATTTTGTCAGTAAATTGAGAGAATTAACTGACAAAAACCTCAGTAACTCATTAAATCACTTTTCCATGTTACTTTTCTTCATTTTTCCCAAGTTATATGGTGAATTCAGAATGTGTATTTAAACACCACAGAATTGAAGGCTCATGTTCAAATCAGCAGTTTTTGGAAAAAGCAATTGCAGGTGTAAACAAAAAAAGATAATTTATGAACAGCGAGGTGTAGATGCTACGTAGACATTGACATCCTGCCCTTCACATCACTTACATAAATTTTGTGCAGATTTTCCATCCAAAACTCTTAATTCTTTGATCTTCTTCTTTGACTGAGCTGCTTTCTTTTCTTCTGATTCTTCTACAGGCTTTTTGGCTGGAAAGAAGGTATTTATTAAATTCTATTCATTATTACAAGAGTTCCATCTTAGCTAACAGCAAGTCCATTAGCAAGCCATAATAATACATTTTGTACAATCAGTTCAAGGCCAAGTGACTACACTGCCTGCACCTACTGTAAAATATCCAAACAAACAAAGGAAATGTCCAAAACTGAAAGGAGCAAGAAATAAAAATATGACAATGAACAATTTTCCCAAGCACTATCAAGTAATATTTACATATTTTAACCCCATGAAATTTCACTTCAGCTCCAATTCATTGCAAGCATTTTTAAAAATACAGAGATTTGGTGTTACCTCGAAGCACATGAGTGCCCTCTATTGAAATAATAATATTTTTAAGTTCTTCATCCAAAGCCAACAACAGAAATAATTTGTATGTTTTCATTAATTATTTATGTTGTCAGTAGTAAAGAGCAAAACTAAGAAAACTGTATATTTGAAAATGATTTATTTTAAATTAGCAAGATTCACTAGTCTCATATTCAGCACTTTATATGGAAAGAAATGTGGCATTGGAGCACCTAAAATATAAGCTGATTTTTTGCATAATTTAAAACAGTCAATTTTTGCAGAATTTTCTTAAGCATTAAGTAAACCCATTAACAAGGATTTATTTCCTTTTTAATATCACATAACATATTTGGCACTGAAGGAATACAATCTTAATGTGCTTAACATTAATTGAACTTATTGAATATTTTAAGTCATTCAAAAGTAACTGAAACACTGGAAAGTCAAATTAAGATGAAGTTTCAAGCAGGCTGAATACAGTTTTGTTCTCTGAGCACTATTTTTGTTGCACTGTAATGAGCCATCATGGGTTTAATTGCAGGTATTTCCTAAGTATAAAGTGTTAATTTTCACTGTGAAGAGTAGCATAAAACTCAAGTTTCAATCTTTTGAATAATAATAATAATAAAAAAAAAAAGAATGTAGAAACCAGGTATTTGTCTCCTTACATCCATTACCACCAGGAAAACATCTGGCACAAAGGAATTCTGCTGGGTTTGTAGCCCTGAATAATCAGTTTATCTTGGCCATACTCATGCCTGCACTAACTGAGCCAGTACCAGGCAGTGCCCTCAGCCCCAGCTACTTCTAAAGAGCCTGAATCAGAGAAAAGTGAACAAAAACTGATTCAACAGCAAAGCAACATTTGCTCTCCCCTTGCCTTCCCTCCCCTGCAGCCTGCCACGAGCAGCAGCAGCCCTGAGCACCCCCAGCACTGACCCCAGCTGCACCCAGCTCCTTCTAAAACCCCAAAGTGACTCTTCAGCCACTAATCAGGCCCTTAGCACTAATTGCTCTCAATTAAACCAGGAAATAAGACCAGGTGCTCAACAACACAAACAAAAAACTACCCAAGAGTTAAAAATTAGTTGTCCCATGGGGAGGCAACAAATATTTTGAGTTCTGTTCTGTATAGCACAGAGAAAGCCTGGGCTTGTGTCTGCTGAGACAGATGAGGAGTGATTCAAGAGGATGAGTGACCCATTGCAAACCAGAGAAGATGAGTGACCCATTGCAAACCAGAGAAGATGAGTGACCCATTGCAAACCGGAGAAGATGAGTGACCCATTGCAAACCAGAGAAGATGAGTGACCCATTGCAAACCAGAGAAGATGAGTGACCCATTGCAAACTCGAGAAGATGAGTGACCCATTGCAAACTTTATCTGTCCAAGAGTTAAACCTCTCAAGCATGCACACCTCAAACAGGGTCCCAGATTTGTCTCAGGAGCTGGAGCACCAAAGACAAACTTGCATAAAACACACACCCAGCTCCTCGGCTTGCAGATGGCAGAAGTACCAGATTAAAAGAAAACAAGAGTAATAAATGTTTCTGTTACCAAATATCACCTCGCAGAAAGGAAAATTTCTTCCTACAGTGGTAATTCACATCAGTCAGAAAGAGCAAGGGACAAACACCTCTGAGAGCAGAAGTTCAAGGGCAATGCAAAACAGGTATTAAGTGATTCAGCTGCTAGAGTATCAGAGAAGGAAAAGTGGTTTGGGGTTAAAGACAATATTTTATAGACACAGAGAGTGAGCTGAGGCAAAACTCACAACAGGAACTCTGCCTGTGCAGGGCACAGGAGGAGTTTCCCTTGTCACCCCTCCTCACCTGTGTGCAGGTGCACTCCTCTACTGGCTGTAAAATCAGGAGCTACATTTACATTTACAGCAGATCCCACATTCCAAAGGTAACAAACCACAGCTACTCTGACCAATTTGGGCCTGAAGGGCTGCAACACCACTGCTTATAGATCATCCATTTAACAAACATCAGCTCTCTGGGGTAGATTCATTTTTTCTACTTGAAAAGAGCCACAGGAAATGTTCTTTCCAAAGAGTTTTCTCTTCCCACACATGAGACTACAAAGTTCACTTCATGCCAGTTCACAAAAACCAGAGAAACACTAGAACTAGATGCTTATGTGACTGCACTAAAGTCACAATACAGCATCAATACCAATCTTACCAAACCCAAATTCACAGAAAGAGACTCTAGTAAAATTTCTACATGGGACAGCTCCTGGAATCTCTCCAGCACTGCTTGAGATGACGTGGAGCATCAGAGAACTCTCCAAAGCTCATCTCTCTTCTACCAGAGGCTTTGCTCACACAACCCATTTCAGCAGTGATTCAACTGTAACACAACCACAGATTATGGAATTTGGAAAAGTAATTCACTCAATTAAAAAGATTCTTGATACTTTCCAGAAGTCAGTGCACCATTGCTGACCAACCTCCTGCCCCCTGTCAGGCTCTCCTTTCACAAGTGCCTGTTCAAAGACAAGACACTTCTTGGTTTGATGCCACAGAACCAAAGGGAGAGATGAAAGAAGGATTTTATAGCAGACAGCACAGGGCAGCTCAGAAAAGCAAGATGAAAAATCAATCTGGAAGCTACAGCAGCTGTATTACTTCATACAGACCTTGGAGTTGAGTGCTGTGATTATTCATTACAGCACTTTGATAACGGTACTGGCTCAGATCTTCATTCAAAATCAGCTTTTTTTCCAAACCAGCGAGTCTTACAGACAGCACCAAGAGCTGGTGCTGCCATACGCAGGTGTCCATGCCAGAAATGGTCAGTTTAAAACCCAGGGTGTAGCAGAGGGGGATTTTTCTTGCTCTCTGAGCACTGCTACTGAAGCAACAGAACACTGGAGAACAGGTCAGCTCAGGTCTGGAGCAGTGGATGTGTTCTGGGGGAGAACTGCTGAGCCTCTCATGAACAATTACCCCACACTATTTAGACCTGTAAAAAGTTTTGGGTGGTTTTTTTCTTTATACTTGACCTCAGAAGAGGGAAAGGGAAGGAGAGCCACTGTGACAAAGCCAGAAGAGAGCCCGTGCCAGTTTCAGAACACACATAGAAACACCAACACTACATAAGTAACTTTTTCCTAATTTACAGCTCTATTAAGCTAGCAGTAATACTTTTGTTTATCAGTGTTGGAGGGGAACAGCTGATGCAAGAAGCTGCAAGGCATTGTTTGCTGTTGATCTGACATTTCCCAGTGCATGGGCAGCTCCAGCTGTGCCTTCAGCTGGGAACTCATCTAATCCCACTGCAAGTGCCCTGCTTGAAACCCTCCAAACCCTAAACAAAACGTTATGCAAGCTTAAAACACGTTAAGCAAGGCTAATGATAGTCATGGCAAAGAGCATACACAAACAGGTTGAAATACTTTAGAGACTTAATTAGGAAAAAATCCTGCCATCAGTACCTTTGTACTTCTGTAGTAAAAAAAAAAAAAAAGAAGCATACATTATTCTTGAAAATTATCATTTTACACCTGTTCATTAATTTAGCTACTGAATAACATTTGAAGTGGCCATGACTAGTTTTGTGAAATATATATGATTTTATTTAATATTGAAGCTGTTAAAACATTTTATTGTCAGCTGAAATGTCCAGCTCATATGAAATTCCCTTCTTTCTTTAAATTACCAATTAATAATTTTAATAAAGAATTAACAGCAAAAACTGTCAGTCATGAATATGATGAGGATGAAAATTAAAGGGAGCTAAAAAGGAGTACACTGAATTATAGCATGGAGAAAGTAGATATTTAGGTGAACTTTAGCCTACCTTAACCTGAGCCTAAGTCTCCAAATTCTGTCAAGTCTGTTCACACAATGAACAAAAACATCCTTATATTGTCATGGGAAATGAACGAGTAAATTCATCTTATTTCCATCTGGCAAGTGGCTTCCCAATTGCATTTATCAGTATTTGGCAGTAGAAGTAAATATACAAAAGAAATTAACTGCTTTGTTATTGCTTCTACCTGAGAGGAGAGCTATGGCTACAGGAGTGTAGGAGAAAAAAATTAAGTGTACATACAGTTGCAATGGATGTGAACTACACACACAAGAGTAGACTTGAGCAGCTGAAAGTAATAATTACATTGAATTTATCCCCCTCCCAAATAAACCTCCTGATGTGATATGCCTTGGTAGAAAAATGAAATAAAGAGCTAGGGATGCCACCAAAAGATTAGAAAGTAATTTGTAGCACAGAAGTGCAGCAAATTCTGTTGCAACACAATAAAACTTCTCCAAGTCAGGCTAAATTGATCATCCTGGAATGCCACAGAAAGTCTCCCATTTCTGTGCTATTCCCAGAAATAAAAGTCGAATGAAGGGGGAGAAGGAGGCAAGTCAAACACAGAATAGTCTCAAATCTGCTGTTGTTCTTTTCCCTCAGCAATAGACCCAGCGGTGTCCCTGGGTGTGCCCACAGCATTCCCAGGCTGGAAACCCCAGGGAAGGGGCCAGGGAGCTGAGCTGGGGCACAGCCTGACCTTCCTGCAGCCACCTGCAGGAACAAACACCTGCAGGAACAGGG